TAATCACATATAAGTGGGCGTGAATCGGCTACGCGGCATATGAAGGATTAGACATATATGCATATATGTTTCAACTCTTATTATATATATTGGGGTCATCTCTATGCCTATGGGCGGCGAATTGGAATATTAACATCCAACACTAATGCTTTTCCTTTTGTTTTTGACTACATACCAAATTCTCTTAGAGTATAAAACATACTCCCTCCGTTTGGAAAAAGTGTTCCTATTTTGACTTTGTGTAAAAATAAGGAAGTATTAAACTGTAGTTGACTTCCAATTTTGCCCTTGATGTGATAGGTAAAAGTAAGATGTGATGGATAGATTATTAGAGATAAAGTATGATGTGATAGGTAGGGTATGAAAAAGTAAGGGTAAAAGTGGTTTTTTAATAGAAAGTGGAAGTGTTTTGTTGGAAGTGAAAAAAATGAAAGAAGAAGTGTTTTAAAAAGTGGGCAAAAAGATGTGACCAGTTCCTTAACATTGCATATCAAAACATTGTTCATCAAAGGGTCACAATTTCAAATTTCAACGCTATCTAGGTTTGAAAAATTTAGGTTTCATATGCTGAGTTTCAAGCGGATTGATACACCTACACATGATAGAGTATTAGGATATACGTACGGAGTACTAAATATTTCTTAGACCACAATTACAACTTGAATTTCTGATTGATGTGTTTGTTCCTTGACAAATTCACTTTTTTTTTAAAAAAATATGTCAATGAACTAATTCAATAAAAGAAAATTTAAGTATTTGGCTGAATGTTTGGTCGAGATCATGCATTTCCAATCATTTTCAATAGTATCATATGATTTTGGGTGAAAGACCAAAATATGAGTAAAAATAAAGAAAAAAATCAAAATAAGATATCCATTCATGTTTTTATTTTCAAAATATGATATATAATGCCAATAGTATATGCCAACATGTATGTAATGCCAAAAAAATAAAATGTCAATATACAATGTCATGTTGTTATAATACAATAGTCATATTTTGAATAAAAAAAATACGTTATTTTAATTTTGGAGATAAAGACTATGTTTTGCTCATATTTTGGATGGTTTCTTTATGATTTTATATCTTTAGACTCTAGAATTAAAAATATTATACCCAATATATATTAAAGACAATGTAAAATATATTTTCTATTCAACATTTCGGTCATAACACTACATACTCCCTCCGTTCCACAAAACCTTTCCTCTTTCATTTTTTTTGCTTTCCACAAAACACTTCCACTTTCTATTAAAAAACCACTTTTACCCCTACTTTTTCATACCATACCTATCACATCATACTTTTTCACTAATAACCAAAATACCACATCTTACTTTTTCCCATCACATCAGGGCAAAATTGAAAAGTCAATCAAAATTTCACTTTCCTTATTTTTCCCCAAAGTCAAAACCGGAAGGGTTTTGTGGAACGGAGGGAGTAATATTTTTTTCCATAAAAAATGATCACTGCGCACAAAATTAAGCATAATTTTAAGTTTTTTAAATTTATCTTACTTAAATTAAAGATTGGGATAGAATTAAAAAAATTAAATTTGCATATTTAATAAATACATTAAAATAATAATAATAATAATAATAATAGTAATAATAATATTATTAATAATAATAATTTGAATTTGAATTACATTTATTCAGATCAGATATATCAAATCTATTTAGATCAGATTAGATTCATTCAAAATAGACCAAATCCATTCAGATCAGATCAGCCTTAAAAAATTTGGTTAAGATCAGATCAGCCGAAAAGAACACAACCTTACATGTCTGTGGCATCCCTTTTTAACGAACAATTAAGTTATTGTTTACATCCCTCACATACCTCATTAGGCTAGGGAGTGGATGATCCTTGAGGTTGGGATTTCTACATTTTTCCAAGAATACGGAATGGACGAAAAATAGTAGCTTGAAATTTAATGTGGACAGAATAACTTGTGATTTGATAACTTTTCTTCTCTCTTGAGTGGTAAGAATTTTATTTCACAGAATTAACGAGAAAGTTCACCTGGGTTCAAGCTCTAGCGGAAGCATTGACTTTTTGTACGGAGTATATCATATGATTCATATCATTAAATTGAAAAAATATTAACAGATACTATATTGTAATCGAAGCAAAATTACTCAAAAAAAAATTGTGATTTGATTAGATGGGCCTGGGGGAACGTGTGAAACTCATGTTTGGTTTACTTCAAAACCACGTTAAACACAAGCCAGGAAGGGCAGTTCCTACTTTTTGGATCTCCGTTAGAATAAATCATACTATTCCAATTCCATTTGATTAACTTTTGATATTACTGCTTGAATCCAATTTACAAAGGATGAGTCCTATCTTCGAGGGTTCCTTCAGACTCGGCCAAATGGTTACTAAGAAGAGGTAAATTTAACTTTAATTTGATTACTTTTATCACATATGTGACCTATAATTAAAAAAAATGTGTATGGTGTATTAATTACTCCGTATTTAAAATAATATTCTGAAACTATTTTATAAAATAAATCTATTAAAATTATTTTTGTATCAATATCAAATTATATTATATTATGATCCTAAGAAATTTGGGATTTTTAGATGTAACATGAGTAAGTATATAATTTAGAGTTTGAAATTTGTTTCGGATGTAACTAGAAATATAAAACTAAGATGTTGAGTATATAAATATATGTGTCATCCTGACTAATTAGAAATACTCCGTATTAATTATGATTAAAGACCATTTTCAAAATACTCAAATTTCTTGGTGATAAAAAAACAGTGAGGAACCATTTTTGTTTATTGTACTCGGTATATGAGACGAAGACGGGAGTGGTGAGTTGGCAGAATATTTTATTCTTTATAATTTTTTAGTTTGGACTTGATAAATGAGAATATTTTGTTTGATGATTTATTTTGTGGAATCTGTTTTATATCATTTCCATTTTTTAAATTATGTGTCGAGTCAAAACTAGTTAAAATTAAAAACTTGCTTTTAGGTCTCTTTTTTTATTTTTTCAATTCTTTTCGGTTTTCCCAACTCTTTTCAATTTATCTATTTTATTTTATTTTCTTTCTATTTCTTCTAATTTTTTCCAATGATAATTTCAAAAAAAATAAGTTATATTTTTCATATTATTATTATTATCATTATTATTATTATTATTATTATTATTATTATTATCACCATCATCTATGGTTTCTTGATGTAATATCATGGTTTCTTAAAAAGTTCCTTTCTTTTTCAAAATATATGTTAGTTAATTATCATTATGGAGTTAAAGTAGTTATTATTATATTACTCCGTACATTAATAAATTTATTATTTACTTTGTGATTTTGAAATATTCTTTACCTATGTCAAAGTTTGATCAAGAAACATTCTTTACCTATGTTTTTAAAAATATGTTCTAGTAGTCACCGTTTTAAAATTTTACCATAAATTATGAAAAACATATTGAAATTATACTAAAATAAGAGTTCGACTTCTGACATCCCATCAAAGTTAATTAAAATTTTGTTTTCCGTTTTGTTTTTTGTTTTTGAATTATTCAACAGAAATCAATTATTGGAGACTCCAATAAAAATCAAAATGTGCGATTTGAATCAAGTACAAGAAAGCCCCCTATGTGTCCTTTTTTTAGGTACTCCTGCTTTTTCCCCTAGGAAACAACCCGTGTTATCCTGCTTTTTTCTTTTTTTTTGAAGTAAAAAAAAAAAAAAGCAGGACTAAAAAGGGATTACACCTTCCTCCATTCTTCCCCTCACTAAATTTAGAACTCTTAAAACCAAATTACCCTCCTCCATTCTTCCCCTCACTATACCAATATACTTTGAAAATGGGATTACACCTGAATTCGACTTCTGATAATAACGATAAAAATCATTAAATTATTGCACACGACAAATTTCCATCCTTAATTTTTTGTGAGACTAACATTTTACTGCTGCTTAATTTATTTCGGGCCTGTTTGGGAATAACGTTAGAAATTTGCGTTAGCGTTTTGGATAAAATTTTAACGGTTGAAAATGCTGACGCTAAACGTTACCCGTAGATAATCTTTTCAAAACGCTAATGCTAATCTATAACAATATTCTCAAAAAGACCCTTTTTCTTGATAATTGTCTGGCCAATCTTAATTTTTTTTATACTCAAATCACAATCACCCTATTTGATGATGGAACTTCCACCATTCTCTACTCCTCTCTTCCTTCAGATAACCTCTTCCTGCAATGCAATGTCTGTCTCCCACTCTTGTTCCTCACCGTTTTTTAGTGGTTTCTTCACCATCAAAAGGGCCAGAGGTCCAAGAAAAGTTTCATACTCTAACGTTGTCTAATGTATCTCCCGCTTTTACTCTCACATTTTCTTATCATATCTATCACATTATATTTTTTCACTAATAACCTACCTATTGAATCTTATTTTTACCCATCATACAAAGGCAAAATTGAAAAGTAAGTACAAATATACACTTTTTAGTTAACCTATTAGTCAACTTAGGAATTTTTTTAGCAGCGGATGGAGTAATAATTTTTGATGTTTTTGCGTTCATAAGAAACTAATTTTGTGAGGGTTTTTTATACTCCTTCCATCCCACAAAACATTACCTATTTTGAATAGTATTTGGTCAAACAGTTACACTCTTTGATTACAAATTGTGAAAAAAGTATATTGAATTATAATACGGAGTATAAATTTAATATAATTGGATTCATCTTAAGATCTAGTTTTAATATATCAAATTTTTAAAACATTTCTTTATTTAGATTATATTTAATTTATGGTCAAAGCGTGAACTGTTTAATCAAAAATACATCAAAATATGTAATGTTTTATGGGACGGAGAGTGTATAAAAAATAAAAAAAAACGCTCACACACTTTTTTTTATGCAACTGTTAAAATTCCGGTGGGCCGAGAACAACAGATAGAGTGTCGGGTAAAATTAACCACTTGCATATAAAATCGAGATCCACAATTCTAACCCAAAAGCTTAAGCTGATAAGTAGTGCTTCACCGTTCTATATGTGTTAGTGATACTCATCTTTATTTTTCGACGTGGGAACACCAACAGCAACTCAAATGACAAGAAAGAAGGGGGGTGGGGGAGGGGTAGAGATTCTTTTACCCGTGGGTGGGTCACATGCTTCTACTACTAATTATTACATGCCATCTTCCCTTTTCCCCCCCCTCTCTCTCTCTATATATAAGAGCTGTGTGGAAGAAGAAGCTAAGGTATATATGTCTACTTGAGCCCTGCCTTCAGACCCGGAGGAGAAGCAATAAAAAAAGAATAATGGTATTTCCGGATGCCGGAAGAAATTGCTTCTCCGGGTTCTGTTGTGCAGGGGAGTTCGGAGGGGCCGGGAACGGGTTCTTCTCCGGCGAGGATCTGCTCCCTTCACTCGGAGGGAGAATCAACCAATCTGCAGAGCTTAGGAAATACATTGTCTCTCCCTTCGATCCCCGGTACAGGTGAGATCACATCACCTCTCTTTTCATTCATTGTTTTAAAATGAAGTACCAAAAGATTGAAAAGAAATTTAAGGACGGTTAATTTTGTACCAAAATAAGATATTTTGGTGTTTCCAAAATTGTCTTTAGATGTGATGGGTAAAAGTAGATAATGATAAATAAATTAATACTGAAAAAGTGTGATGTGATAAGTAGAAAATTGATTGGAAAAAGTCAATTTAGACAATTATTCAGGAAGATAATACGGATTATATTTTATCGAATTGATTATTTAATTCGTCTAATATATACTCGTCCAAGTTTCCCATTTACCTTTTATTCTGAAGACTAATAACTCTATTATAATATTGTTTACACATTCTCAACCATTAAGCAAGTATAATTATCACCATCACTATGAATTGAACTTATGGTCTCTCATATGAGAGAGTCACCATCATGGCGCTGAATGACAGGGTCTTTAGCCCCATTCATCTCTATTATTATAAACAAATGCTAACTATTTATACTTACTTTATTCTTATTTTGGTAATGAATATAAGGCTACTAAAAATTCTCTCCCTTCTAAAGAAATATTTTCTCCATTCTAAAATGATTTATCTCTTTACTATTATAGCCTATCAATAACTTTTGTTTGTTTAAATGTTTTCATTGATTTTTAGATAAAATAAAATATTATTACCACCTCTTATTTTTTCTTTTTGCATGAATTTATACTCTCTTACTATCAAAAAAGTACTCTCAATTTTATATTTTAAAAATTATTTTCTACAAATTTTATTTATATTTAAAAATTAACATTTGCTCAAAAAAAATCTCTCATCTGAACAAATTTTAATGATAATATCACACTTCTTTTGGTAGTGATATACTGATATTTATAAATCACTCCTTTTGGGACGAAACCATATAACCAATAAATTAAAGGTGTGGGGAATGGTCTGCATGGGCTCAATCAATGGTTGCATAAGAAATGAAAAAGTACTAGTGGCTAAAATAAAGTTTCTTTTGGGGTCATTGATATTCCATCCCTCTATAATAAAGTTTCTTTTAGTGTCATTTATATTCAAGAAGTACAAATAACAATGATTGACTGAGTTAATTTCTAATTTAATTTGTTTAAAAAATGGTACATAGTATTAAAATAAACTCTAATTAAAATAATTCAGAACAACTAATATAACTACTATGTGAAATTTGCACTAAATAAGACTAAAACGTACTGACTTTTCTAATGTACGACTTAAACTTTTTTATTCCCTAAATAGACTTAATAATGACTTAGTGGGAGGAATAATGTCCATAATGATTGAAATTACTTGAATAACGACTACTTCATAATGACCAAAGGTCCTACATTGGAAAATAAAAACATATGGTCCTATATTGGAAAAGTCATTATGTTTTAGTCCTATTTAGGTAAATTATTCTATAACTATATCTAGAACAAATATGGTATACCAAAATAGAACCTTTAATCTTTTATACCAAAATACTCCCCCCCTCCCTAAAAGATCTTCTCCTTTCATTTTTTTGTCCCCAAAAGATATGTTTTCTTATCTATTAAAAAACCACTTTTACCGGTTACTTTTTCATACCATGCCTATCACATCATACCTTTTAAATTTTCAAAAAAGTCAACATAAAAATATTCCTCTTTTAAATCTTCAAAAAGTCAATAAGGGAAGATGTTTCAAGCACGTAGGAAGTATGACTTAATTATATTCCCAAATAATACCAACACATGATGATGATATGTATATTAATTCAGGGCATGGGAGGTGTTCCTGGTGTTTCTGGTCATATACTCGGCCTGGATATCTCCATTTGAGTTTGCTTTCCTGACCTACAAAGAAGACGCCTTGTTCATCGTTGACAACATCGTCAACTGCTTCTTCGCAATCGACATCTCTCTCACCTTCTTCGTCGCGTATCTCGATACCCATTCCTATCTTCTTGTCGACGACCCTCGCAAAATTGCGACCAGGTAATTACACGCGTGACAAACTTGTGTGTTGAATTGGCTGAAACCACAGTAAAAGATTGAATACATTATTAATTCGTACCAAATGTTGTTATTGTAGGTATGTATCGACATGGTTCATATTCGACGTGGGATCGACGGTCCCAATCCAAGCTCTCAGCTTCCATTTCACCGATCACGAGACAAGGGGCGGGCTCGGCTTCAAGCTGCTAAGCATGCTTCGGCTATGGCGTTTGCGCCACGTCAGCGCTCTATTTGCAAGGTCAATAGTTAATTAACCACCTCTTAAAACTTTATTGTTTTACTTGTAAATCTACTTTAACACAAGTGTTTCACGTGGAAGTTTGACATCATGTCTTTCACAAGAATATATAAACAGACAAAAATTGTGTATTTGGCCATATATATAATCACTATTTATGCATATCTCTGAAACATATAATGTATGAATTTGATATCAAAGTTTGTTGACAATATAATGTAGCATTAATTGTTCTCCAAATATCTTAATTAGCTTACTTAGTCATTAAAGTCCCTCTACTTTCCTTCAGACTTGAGAAGGATATATGGTTTAGCTATTTCTGGACCCGTTGTACAAAGCTCATCTCGGTAAGTTGCACAATTACAGTATACTCCCTCCGTTCTAAAAAAAAGCTATCCTCTTTTCTTCTTCCCTTCCAAAAAAAAACTTTTTCTTTCAATTAAAATTAACTATTTACTTATATATTATTAACATACCTATCACATCAAATCTATCTAGCATTAATCTACTAATCACATGATATCTCCACTCTAAAAAAGGAAAGGGTAGTATGGCAAAGTCAACTACAAAATATATATACTCTCCTTAAATTTGTGAAATGTCAAATATAATACTCCATCCGTCCCTAAAAAAATTTTCTCTTTCGTTTTTTCTTTGTCTCCAAATAAACTTCTCTTTTCCCTTAAAAAACCCCTTTTACCCCTTACTTTTTCATACCCTACCAATCACATCATACCTTTTTACTAATAATCTCCCTATCACATCTTACTTTTACACATCACATCAAGGGTATTTTTGGAAAATCAACATCAAAATATATCTTCCTTAAATTCTCAAAAGGTCAAAAACGGAAGTTTATTTAGGAACGGAGGGAGTAATAATTTTTTGGGACGAAGTGTGTAATATTTCACATACTGATCTTTGAATCGAAAACGAATTAAATAATGCACGCAGGTGACGTTGTTTGCGGTGCATTGCGCGGGATGCATCAACTACATGATCGCGGAGCGATACCCGGACCCGAAGAGGACGTGGATCGGAGCGGTGTACCTGAACTTTCGGGAGGAGAGGGTATGGGTGAGATATGTAACAGCAATGTATTGGTCAATTGTCACACTAACAACCACAGGGTATGGAGACTTACATGCTGAGAACACAAGAGAAATGCTCTTTGATATCTTCTACATGTTGTTCAACTTAGGATTGACGTCTTATATCATTGGGAACATGACTAACCTCGTTGTTCATTGGACCAGCCGCACCAAAAGTTTTGTAAGTTTTTCTTTTCTTCATCTGATTATTTTTTTTACATAAGTTATTTTTGTGATTCAAGAATAAATATTTGTTTAATAAATTTTTTTAACACTAAAAAAATTATTTATTAAACCAATATATATTCTTGAATTAATAATAAATGATTAGTTGGTGTACAATTTTTTTTTGGACTAAATAGGGGAAACATGCCATTTTTTGTGCCATTCCTTTTCAATCGTTATAAAGAACCGTAAAGTATGGTGGATTGGTGGGCGGCCCAACTTATTCTATACCACCTCCCACCCAAAGTATTTGACAAATTTTATTTTTTATAATCAAAATCCATAAATTTTAATTATTATTTAAATAAAATTTATACTCCCTCTGTTCTATAATGATCTTCCCAGTCCGGTTTACGAGATTTGACTGAAATTATTTTCAAATCAATTTATTTGATTATAGGTATACAATTAAAAAATAAAAATTATATATTTTAAAACTATATTAAAAGTTCTATAAAACAAGAGGTGACATGACTATATTATTTTATCGAATAACTAACGAAAATAGATATAGAAAGTAATTAAAGTTTGACCATGTAAATAGTGACTGGGAAGATCATTTTAGGACGAAAGGAGTACTAAGTATTGAAGAAAAAATAATTTTATTAAATTTATCTTGAGTCCCACATCTATACTTAAAAAGAAAACAAATTGGTTTTAAACTCTTGAGTTAAACTATATAATTGATTGTGACCAATCTTTTAATGGGTTTAAAAATCATGTTTTAAAATTTATCTATTGATGTTAAATTCATATCATAGTTCAATATATGTTTTTCGAAGTTTACAAACAAAGTTTAAAAACTTTGACTAAAAAAGTCATATTTGAAAGATTTTTTTACATAGGGAGTAAAAAGAAAAACTATTTAATTTATACAACTATTTGATAAAAGAGTACTTGAAAAGGAAATAATGATGGAAAATGTTTATACTACCACCATCTCAATAAGAATGACACTTTCACAATTTCAGATTTGTGTTAAAGTTTATAAAAAATCATCCTAAAATAGAAGGAAAAAAATATAGAAAAAGTATTAAAATAAGAGTTTGTACTGTGATAATGTGACATTATACATAAGCATTTTACTGTACTTTTTGATAATGTACATGATGGTAATATAAATGCATATAAAATCAAAGTGAAGGCATGACTTGTTTCTCTTGTTTAAGTAGAGGGATAGAGTGAAAGCGGCTTCTGAGTTTTCAAAGCGGAACCTGTTACCGAGCAGATTACGAGACCAGATAGTGTCTCACATATGTCTCAAGTTCAAAACGGAAGGGGTGAAACAGGTAGAGACTTTGGGTGTGTTGCCAAAGGCCATCCGGTCGAGCATCTCCCGCCACCTCTTCTACCCCATCCTCCAATCCCTTCTTCTCTTTCGGGCCGTTTCTCCCCATTTCCTCTTCCAACTGGTACGCATGCATGTTCGATATGCTTTTGGTTGAGTTGTTTTTTGACATGGTATCTGAGCGTTGTTTACCCTGGTATATAATATTAAAGGGCCATGCTACACTTACACCGAAAATTGTACCTCATTTGTACACTGCAGTTATACACAAACATTTTGATGGTCTACACCGACACAAGTGTTTGTGCGTTAACAAAAATTTACACGAACACAAAGTGTTGGTGCGTTAACAAAAACTAGTTTTACACCAACACAAAATGTCGGTGCAAACCTGCGGTGTACAAAATGAGATACAAAAATTTGGGGTACAAATAGCTTTATCCAATATTAAAACTCGATTGTTTTTCATATTTTGTAATGCAAATTTAAAGGTTTCCGAAATGGAGGCAGAATATTTCCCCCCTAAGGAGGACGTTATGTTGCAGAACGAGCCTCCAACGGACATGTATATAATCGTCTCTGGCACCGTGGTAAATTTCTTAAACAGTAATTATCCATTTACTCTTTTGGCTCATTCCTGCGCATTTATATAGACAAATGCACCCTTAAATATTTTAAAAAGAAAGGAAAGGAGTGAAGGGTAAAGTTGTCCCTTTCTTAGTTTATAAACAAAAATGAATTTAGCCAAATCAAGTTTGGATATATTTTACTAATCACCTTATAATAATAATAAAACACTCATATATTTAATGTTCCTCTGAATAAGCTAAGGATGTTTTTTTTTCTAGTGCAGGAATTGATACTACACATTGATGGACATGAAGAAGTAAGTAGAGAGCCCCCTCGCCCCCCTCCATCTCTTTATATATATACATGCATAGATCCGGCGAGAATGCTCTTAGTGAGAGAAATGAAAAGGGTGTATTTTTCGTCCATTACTATGCACATTTACATTGTGGAAGTGCATTTTTCAGTGGCATAAAAATTTGACTTATTTACTAAAATGTCATCGTGTTTTTCTAGATTTCTACCTATTTTTCTAATTTTTATGACCTTTAAATCTTACACTCTAATGCAGCACATGCATTCTCATTTATTTCATTACATGTCATTCTCACTAGAGTCAAAATCAAGTCTTTATTTCCAAAACATATATGTGCGTAATGCAGGTCTTTGGAAAAGCGAGTGCAGGAGAAGTATTTGGAGAAATAGGGGTTTTGTTTGGACGAGCCCAGCCATATGCGGTTCGGACGGTTGAGATTTGTCAGATATTGCGACTGAATCGTGCATCTTTGATGTCCACTCTTCATGCTAATCCACAAGATGAACACATCATCATGAACAATCTCTTACAGGTAATTAATTCTAGGGAACGCGTTTGAATATAAAAACCTATCTAGCTATAACTGTAAGCTTGAATTTTTTATTGAGTTGATTTCTTGATATATAACAGAAACAACAAACGTTTGGAGATTTTTGTTGTGAGGACAAGGAAAAGGACCCAAACTTAGCCTTTTATGAAGAGTTTTCATCATGTTTTGAGGACAAGACCAAACAGGAAAACCACAACATGGACAGATTTCATGGTCCTGCAAATACAACTATTGCCAACAAAAATATTACTACTTTTAATCTAAGGCCTGACATACATGCCCATTCATTTTCTTCCAACTTCTTCCCCAGAAAACGGCTTACTTGTACAAATTCTAGTGGCAGTAACGGTAGTACTTATCAGACCATGCCAGAAACAGCAAAATGGATGAAGAGAGTCACCATTCATGTCCTGGTTAAGGACGACAATGGTTCATGTCTCGAGTTCGAGAAGCTAATTACTCTACCTAATTCTTGGGAAGAGCTCTTCTCATTGGCACGTAAGTCTTTATTTACGGAGTATTCTATATGAAATTTGCACTAAATAGCACTAAAAAAATAACACTTAAATTTTTTAATTCCTTAAATAGTATTTGAATTATGTCTAGTGGCGGAAATAATGTTCAGTGATAGGCATTTAGCTTGAACAATGTTCAGTGGCAATGAATATTTACTTGAACAATGACCAGTGGTACTATATCGGGAAATGAAAACATATAGTATTACATTGAGAAAAATCTATATATTTTAGTACTATGTAGGTAAATTTCTCTTATTTTATATATGTGCCGTTATGTTGTAATTTGGGGTTTAATTTCGTATCCTTAGAAACTTGAAAGTTGAAAGTGAATATTTTTTTGCCTATTAGAGGATATAAAGTCTCACATTAGACACTCCACCAAAAAAATGACTAATTAGCTCTAAGAGTACTTAGGCTCTTGTTCCTTTGCTTGATCGGATGGATTATAACCTGAACTTTTTAAGATTTGATTTGGTCTGATATATTTGAAGTACATCCTCTGTCTTAAATTATTTTCCTAGTTCAGTTTACGAATTTTGACTAAAATTATTTTTAATTAGATTTATTTGATTATAGGTGTAAAATTTAAAAATAGAAATTAAATATTTTAAAATTACATCAAAAGTTCTACAATATAAGAGGTGATATGACTATATGAAAATAGGTACAAAATAGTTCTAAAAATTAGGTACAAAATAGTTCTAAAAATTTGACCATGTGAATAGTAACTAGGAGATCATTTTAGGACGGAGGGAATATAATTTAAAGATATAAATTAATGATTGAACTTGACTTCATTCTAATAAAAATATGTAATAAATAGAAAAAAATAAGGGTAAAAGAACTGGCCTTAGAAGCTCCAAAAAGAAATCCAAGTCTTTAACAAAAAGATCTTAATAACATTTGTTGTTGGAAAGTATACCATCAAGTATTTGTTTTTGGATACCTCCAAAAAGTCTCAAACTAATGGGTTACGCTCAAGCTGTTTATTTTGTTCCATTTTTCTTTTCCTATATGGTGTGGGATGTAGATTATACTCAACAAATTTGAGGGAGATGTTAAGAATAAAGTCTCACATAAAAAACCTTGCTAAAATTAACTATACTCCTTAACATGATAATAATAATAATAATAATATGTAGTAATAATAATAAAAATAATAATATAGAGTAATAATAATAATAATAATAATAATAATAATAAAACGAAGTAATAATAATATGAATACCTCCTCATATCGTCAGTTGGTTTTGGGATAAGATCTTATAATTATGTTATTGTGCTTGTCACATGCTCTAAACTTATTTTTGCAGATCATGAGTTTGAAGCCCGATCCATTACAAAAGTTGTGAGTTCAGACAATGCCGAAATTGATGACTTAAGTGTCATCAGAGATGGAGATCATTTGTATTTCATTTCTGAAGAGCCTTCAAATATGTAATTGTATATATAAAATGTGGCCTTCAAAATTAATTTAAAAGGTTCAATTCAATTTGTATAGTTAACTAAGAGAGAGCTTTGACATTTGCAAGGAAATGTCGTTAATCTCTTCGCTATTTCATTTTCTTTTTGTTTTTTGAAATAAGGACGTCTATGGGCTTCCATGAATTGGAGAGTAACTTAAAACCTATATTTATTTTTTTCAATAATTTTTTTCCCGCCATCAATTACTTGGGAGAATTACACAAGAGTAAATTCTTGCTCAAACACCAACTCTTTTTATTTAATAACTTACTCTAATACAAACTCTAACTAATAAAAACTTACCATACAAAGAACTATATGCTAGAGTCATGCTAGAGTCACAAATAAACCGTTCACAAAATTATCTTTTTAACATTTTCCTAGAAATAAGATGCACTCAAATAATAAAAGATGTTTTAATTTAAAATCTAAAAAAAGTAAGTTTGTGAAGTTTATGAACTATATGTTTGTGACTCTAGCATTTTTCATATTACATACTCCGTATAGATTTGTTATTGAATATTCTAGATTCCAATACTCTCACTCAAGTTAGAGTACTTCAATCAAAGAGGCCCAATCCCAATGGGGTGTGCTCCCGACACCATTTTCCGTCAGGGACGGCTTGCTCGTTGCTCTTATATAATACTCCATCCCTTCCAAAAAGTTTGTTACGTTTAGAAAAAACTGCTCCCGTAAAGTCCGTTACATTTCCAATAAAAAACCACTTTTACCCCTTACATTTTCATACCATATCTATCACATCATACTTTTTTTCTAATAATCTATCCATCACATCCTACTTTTACCCATCACATCCTACTTTTACCCATCACATCAAGGGTATTTTTGGAAAGTCAATACCAAAATATCCCTCCCCTAATTTTCCAAAAAGTCAAACCGTCCTATTCTTTTTGGGACGGAGGGAGTACTCGTTTATGCATCTAGGAACACTCTCCTCTTCTAGCGGAATTACTCAAGGAGTACCATGGCTCTCAAATCGCATGGCATACAAGAGTCCAGCGCACCTTTCACCTGTTGGGAATTAAACACACACAACACACACAAATATCTGCGAGAATCAAGAGAAACGGAACACGGACGACACACAAGAATTTAACGTGGTTCGGTTTCCCTAATCCACGGCTGCAACAGGAGGATTTCTATTTCACTTGTCGTGTCTCCACGGAATTACAAGAACAAGGGCTCAATATATAGGAGAAAAAAAAACCCTAGGGTTACATAACATGGGCCGGGCCAACAAGTCAAGCCCAAGCCTCCACAAACCCAACATTCTCCCACTTGGAGGCTTGATAGTCATCAACTGCCATCCACCATGATTCCCTGTACATCGAGTAATCTTCCTCAGCTCTCCTGTTGCAGCGGCCCTATCATCAGACAACTGAAAGGCCCGTTGAAGCTCTCCCAAGCTCCAACACATCAATCATGGCAAAATCTGCCCCTGACTCGTCCTCGGTCCCTACCGGCTCCCACTGCAGATGCACACCGCCGGATCCTAGAACATCTTGAGAACAAACACTCTCCGTACTCAGCAAGAAATTTTCTAGAGATGTTCCAACAGCTGGAATACTGGTTCTCCTGACCCACTGTCTTCTAGGCAACTTGGCTGAAGCGCCTCTTGAGCTCCCACTGCCACACATACCTCTGACTGGCCCCCTTGAACCTTTCCTCGCTCGTTCATCCTGAGTCTGACCTGTGGCTCTAGGTTTCTCTCTTGCACAGACAACCTTATTCTGCCCACGAGACTCTGTGAACCGGACTTTGTTTCTCTTCTGAACTGGGACGGTCACTCCCTCAGATGGTAACCCGACCATGTACAACGAACCTCTCTTCTTTCCACGGGCCATGACAAGATTTCCCTTCACGACCTTCCACTGCCCATCTCTGAACTTCACCTCGTGTCCTTGTTCGTCCAACTGCCTGACAGAAATCAAACTTTTCTTCAAGGCTGGAACCACTCTGACATCCTTCAAAGTCCAGAAACCGACTGAGGTCTTCAACACCATGTCACCCATGCCCGTCACCTCAAGAGCACTGTCGTCCGCTAGTCGTACCTTTCCAAAGTCACCAACAACCAGATTCTGCAATGCTTCACCGCTGTGGGTGGCATGAAATGAAGCACCAGAATCCATGACCCAGGAATCCACATTGCTTTCCTCGCAGCAAGTCAAAGTGACCTCCTCGTCACTCGTAGAGCCTTCAGCGATGTTCACTTTCTTGTCATTCGGACATTGATTCCTAAAATGCCCCACCTCCTTGCATTTCCAACACGTTACACCCGAGCTATCCCGAGTCTTCGACTGACTCCTTTGTCTGTTCCTGCTCCCACTACCTCTGCTATTTCTTCTGCCTCTACCAACATGAAGCAATTCACCAGATGACTCCCCTGAACTCTTTCTTCTGACATCCTCGCCAAGAACGAGATCTCGAATCTGATCAAAGGTGAATCCATCAGGTCCCACTGAACCGGTAACCGCTGTAACCGTTCCGGACCAACTATCAGGTAAAGACGATAGCAGTAGTAAAGCTTGAACTTCATCATCGAACTTAATGCCCACTGACAAAAGTCTGGCTAAGATCGAATTCAACTTGTTGATATGCTCGGTAACTGAAGTGCCTTCTTTCATTTTTGTGTTCACCAGCTCTCTGATCAGAAAAACTTTGTTAGCTGCAGATGGCTTCTCGTACATGTTAGACAGCGCTTCCATAATTTCCTTCGCTGTCTTCTCCTTCAAAATGTTGAACGCAACATTCTTGGTCAACGAGAGACGGATCACGGACATTGCTTTCCGATCCAAACCTGCCCAATCTGCATCTGACATCTTTTCTGGCTTGTCACCCAAAACCACGTCCAAATCTTTCTGAACCAGCAAATCTTCAATTTGCATTTTCCACCAACTGAAATCTGTACCATTGAACTTCTCAATTCGGAACTTCCCATCTTCTGCCATCTCAAACGACTAGACGAGATATCCGGTACAACTAATTTCAGATCTTGGTATTTTCGTCAGAAAATCAGGCCCACCACACCAATTAAATTAGCCAAAACCAGGTCCAATAACCACCAGCAAGGAAAATTTACGGCCAAAAAAAAACAGCTTTTTTCCTTTCCCTTGCTGTTTTTTCCTTTCGGCCCACCTTTTTTTTCCTTCCTTCTCTTGTTTTGCCTCTTCCTCTTCGCAGAAGCGGCGGCTGAAAATACTGGGCAACCGCAGCGACAAGCTGGACGACTCCTCAGCGGCAGCTTGGGTCAGCGGCTGCACCTTCTCCAGACGGCGACAATCGGCGGACGGCGACGGCTCGGCGGCTGGACGACGGTGGCTACTCAGCGAGCGGTCGGACGACACCTGCTCGCGAACGGCGGTTGACGGCTGGACGGAGGGCGGCGGATTCCTCAACTCAGCGGCATAGATCTGAGGACAGCGACGGCGATTCGGAAGGTGGGTCCTGGGCGGCGCGGCCTGCTGCTCGCGAAGCCCTACCCAGCGACTGCGGCGGTTGGCGGGAGACCAAGGCTGCGCGACGGCGGCAGCGAGGCAACCCCAAGGCTGCGGCTCTCTCCCTTGCTGCGCGACTCACTCCGGCGCGGCCCTCACAGCGGCAACTGTTCACAGATCCAAAACCCTAGGTGACAACTCGCAATTTGTGTTCCGGTGTTGAACAACCTGGCTCCGATACCACTTGTTGGGAATTAAACACACACAACACACACAAATATCTGCGAGAATCAAGAGAAACGGAACACGGACGACACACAAGAATTTAACGTGGTTCGGTTTCCCTAATCCACGGCTGCAACAGGAGGATTTCTATTTCACTTGTCGTGTCTCCACGGAATTACAAGAACAAGGGCTCAATATATAGGAGAAAAAAAAACCCTAGGGTTACATAACATGGGCCGGGCCAACAAGTCAAGCCCAAGCCTCCACAAACCAACATCACCCTTGGGCTGAATGTTCCGTCAATACAAGCTTTCACACGGATGACTCCTTTTCAGGCTGTTTATGACCGTCCACCACCTGACCTGGTAGCATATCAGCGTGGTGGCAGTCATGTGGCCGAACGTGATGATCTGTTGTGCCAATTGCGTGCAAATTTGCACGTGACCCAGGCCCATGCACCCCATGTTTCATTTGTCCATGCTGCGCCCGTTTAAAGGAGCTTTAGCCAACACGCCACCACTACCATTACCGACCAATTAACTTGATCGACGGAAGGCCGCCATCTCACCCCGTCCCGGGGCGAGGTCAAGGGTGGGGGGTTTACGAGGAGGGTTAGGAGGAGTATGGACTATCAATTTTACGAACGGAGCACTATAGGTGCCCGATTGAAATGGTGTCACGGAATAACATTATTTGGGATGCTGTAACCCTACACTTCCTCTTTAATTTAATGCTTCATTTTCTCAAAAAATTAAAGAATGACGAAAAGTTCGATCAAATGAGATGGGTTTACTCGAAATAATTAAATTGAGTAATTTGTTTTTGTTGCAAACTATTTAATTGTGCTCTTAATGACCGTTTATCTTTTTTAAACGAAATATTTAATTTATTGTGCTTTATTATTTTCTTACTCCCTCCGTCCTGGAGTAGTTGCCCACTTTTAATTTTTTTCTAGTCAAAATTGGTATGTAAATTTTGACCTCAAATTAAAAAAATAATATTAAAAATTGATACAAAAATAATTTTAATAGATTTATTATATAAAATATAGATCAAAGATTGAAAATGATTAACTGAAAAAAAGTCAGAACTCGAAAAATACTTTGGGACAGATCGAGGTAGTATTATACTCCTACCGTCCCTTAAAACATTTCCACTCTCACTTGTTAACTGTCTCATAAAATATTTCAATTTCGTTTAAATGGACACAAATGCCCTTACTTTTCCTAAACATAATCGAACGTACCTCAACTACCTTCTACGCTCTACCCGTTTTATTTGATATTTCTCGAGCCCAACTTGTTTTAATTGTCGTCGTTTTGCCTTGGTCAAACATCTATATCTTCACTTTCCAAGAGTCAAAACCGAAAAAGTTTTCAGGGACCGAGGCACAATATGCTGAAGACCTTGATTTGATTTTAGCCTAGAGCCCAATTAAGCTAGAAAGAGTATGTTGGATTGCCTAAGTTCTTAGGTCATTAAACAAACTCATGTGGCGTTGATGTGTTGTTAGTCCATTCTAATTGAACTAAAAGAACGTTCAACTCTGCGATTGAAGATGCATGAAATTTTTTGAAAACAACAAATCATATTTTCCAGTCTTCTTACTTCATACATTGACCCTATTTTTCTCCCTCTAATCAAGCTCACTAATTTTAACTGCAGTTTACTATTAGAAGAAGAACTTTGGAGTAATTAAACACCCTGCATGAAGTGTGGACGACATGGCCACGAGGGCATGCAACATATTTTCTTTCATATTCCCTATTGTTTGTGAGTTCAAGTCATTGGGTTACTCTTTTCTACTCAGTTGATTGATCATGTTCTCTTACTAAATTGGCAATATTATACTTTGTGCACTCTCTCATGTTTCCCAATCGTTTCATGTTTTTCTCGTTCATTTCAAAATTACGTCTCATTTGCTTGATTATATTGAACTAGATTTGTTGTATTACGGAGTATCACGTAAGAATTTGCCTTCTAATGATATTTCATCCTTCCACTATTATTTTCTACCTCTATCCCTGAGAATTTGTCTAGTTTTGTTTTTTTGTTACATTTAAAATTAATAAACTTTGATCATTAATTAAATTAAATTTATACTACCTCCATCTCAGAGTATTTGTCCACTTTCATTTTTACACACCATCCAATACACTTCTTTAATCTATTTTATCTTGTAATTTGTATATTAAAAAATTATAGAAATTATATATTAATAATTTATATGTTAAGACAAATCAAACAAAATCACACATGACTATATTTAGGTTTACACATTGAGAGAATTTGATGAGTCAAAGTGCTTAGATTAACAGTCCCAAAAATCAAAACTGGACGAATATTCTGGGATGGAGGGAGTATTTCATATTAGATGTTCATACAAGAATTATTTTTGTAGATTTATATAATAAAATATTTTTTGGATAGTTATTGTTTTATCTAATTAATATACTATACCATGTAAGAATAGCTTTTATTTAATTATAAATCAAAGATTAACTTAGTTGACTACAAAAAGTCAAAATTACACAAACACTCACAGACTCAAGTACTATCCATTTCATTTTTTAGCTCAATAACAATTTTTAAATACTTCCCCGTCCCAAAATAACTTAGATAGGAACCAAAACGAGACAAAATCGATCTCATATTTTTTAAATTTATTTTATTTTAAATTAATATAAAAATAAAGATTAAATATTTAAAAATTGCATAAAAAAAGGCAAAATGTACATTCAAAAGAATTACTTAAACTCTTCTCTAATTAACTACGGAGTAATTTGGAAAAGGGCAAAGGGGGAGTTTTTTTTTAATGGAAGTATATTCAAACCCGGATTTGTTCATGCACTAAAACCAATAAATATATCCTCAATCGAAACTTCTCAACTCATTTCTTGACTCCATCTTTAATGCACATCAACAAATCTTCTCTCTCTCTTTCTCTCTCAAGAAATTGATATGATGATGAAATTCATGAAAGCCCTTTTCATTGCTCTCCTTGTCCTCCTTCTCGCCGTAATCTCATCCAATGCTTCTTCTGCCGCCGCCGCCGACTCACTCCACCGGCATAACAGCTCCGCCGGCGACGAAACCCACCTCCCGGCCAAAGGGTCAGAAGCTTCAAGGTTCTTGATCAAGAAGACCCAGAGCAAGAGAAGAAATATGATCGGGCCGGAGAAGAATAACGATAAGAAGACAAAGAAGAACAACAATCACGGCGTTAACGAGGTTCCGTCAACTACTACGGCGGCGGCGGCGGCGGCGGAGAGGGTGTACAGGGCGAATATGGTTCCGAAGAGTTTCGTGCCGCCTTCAGGGTCGTCGCCGTGCCATAACGACTACCCGAACTCCGTCGCCTTCTTCTGTTATCTTTCCTATTCCCGGACGACGAAACCCTAGATACACACGTCATCATATCTCGCCGGGGCTATAAGTGTCATTTTCTTTTAACTTTCTTGAAAATTTCTTTGAGTGGCCATTCATTTAAATTTGTATTCATTTAGGGAAGATGAGGTATATGGTAGCAATTCAAATTCATTATCATCCATGCATCATGTTATGTCTTCATTTTTCGTGCATTTGTGTATATTGATTTTTCTTAAAGGTCCTATTTGTCACTAGCGTTAGCGCTTTGAAAAAGCCACCTAACTGTAGCTTTTAGCATTAGCGCTTTCAGATTTAATGTACACCTTTAAAATTTTATCCAAAACGTTAACGCTAATAAAACATGTTATTCCTAAACAAGGTCGAAGTATAATTATACTATCATTTTTTAATTGATGTTTTAGTATAGCAAAATTTGCACTAAATGGGACTAAAACATAAGTCATTTTTTAATGTAAGATTTAAACTTTTTTATTCCTTAAATTAGACTTAATAATGTCTAGTGGGAGGAATAATGCTCAATAATGATAGACATTTACTTGAATAATGACTAATTGATAATGACAAAGGTCCTACATTGAGAATTAAAAACATATTGTCCTATATTGGAAAAGTGATTATGTTTTAATCTTATTTAGATAAATTTCTCTTTAATATACTACTAATTTTTCATTTAATTTTACATCAAACTCTTAGGAATAGAATATAACTATAATTTAATAAACTGTTTTGAAAGAAATCAATCAAAATAGGAATAAAACATACGGAGTAATTTTATGCTCAAAACAGAAATAACATATTTTTAATTTTTGTTATCTCAAAAAATAATTTTATGCCAAAATAGAAATAACATATGCTAAAAAATCATCTCCTGATGTAAACTTTTTATTTTTATTCGTTCTAATTTGATATTTTGTTTAAAGATATGAAATTAGAATGGGCCTTTTCCAAAAATTAACTTTTGCAAAGCTTATCAGAGTGGGCCTTTTCCCATGCTTAAAGTAGGCGCTGTGCAAAGCTCAGAGTTAGCGGGTTGGGCTCTTTGTAAAGTTGGTGATAAACTGATAATCAAAAGTTAAAAACAAAATTAAGGAATTATAATAGAAATAGTTTACTTTTTATTTGCTTGCATTTTTTTGAATTTAATAAGTCTACTATATAACCAACATAATACTTTGCATATATTAAAATTATTCTATCAAAAAGGATATTCTCTTCATCTCATAATTATCATTCAAGTTTGACTTGACATAGTTCTTAAAAAAATACCCATTTTGATCCCTAAATGCACTCGCGAGTCTAATTGGTTCATATATCTTGGGTTGATTTAGTTTATGCGGCTAAAAGTCGTTAATCAAGTTAGCCATTCTAGTGAAATATCTTTCAATTGTGAAACTATATGTTGGGTTGAAACATGAATTTATACATTTGAAAAAAATCACCTCAAATAGAAATAAAATATAATATTTATCTTCAAAATGTAAGTTTATGTTTTTATTTCTAAAATAGGAGGTTACAATGTTATATTATGCATTGTATTGTGGCATCCTACGGTATTTTTTGGTACTAAATATGTGCATTATTTGCATTGTACTCTTATTTTTGAAAATAAAAAACACAAAGCTCCTAACAAAGCGTAAGTATTTTCTTATTAGATTTACAGTATTAAAATTTTATCTAAAATGTTAAAGCTAATTAAAATTGTTATTACCAAACAAAGCCTATATTAATTTAACTCGGTATTATACTATCCCCTTCCTGAATTATTCGTCGAGATTTGATTTTACAAAATTTAAGAAAAATATTAAAAAATAAAAGAGTGAGAGTTTAAAATTTATTTAGAGGAAATAGACACTTGGAGGACTATATATTGTTTACTTTATTAAGAAAATTTGACTCTTTGACACTGTCGTGTACAACTGAACTGCAAAAAATTTTTGGCGTCCTCCGTGAGAAATGTCATTGACAACAAAAACCAAACACCTTACAGGTGCCACTTCCCTCCGCTCATTTTCCCGTCTCTTCCACCTCAAACGCCGCCACTCCCTTCCGCCGGCGGGGTCCGGCCCGCCGCTGCATCAAGACCCACATAGCCTCCTCAAGGAAGACCCCATTGAAGTCCTCTCCAACCTCTGGGCCAAGACCTTCTCCCAGCCGGGAAAGCCCTTCTCCAACCTCGCCGGCTTCCTCTCCAAGCTCGATCTCTGGGTCCTCGCCTACCAGCGCACCTGCGCCCACTTCACCGGCTCCTTCCCTCCCCGCAATGCGATCCACGCCCGTGTCCTCTCCGATCTCGTCTCCCTGCGGAACGCGGTTGTTTCCGGCGACTTCATCTGGAACGACAAGGCGCGTCCCGTGATTCGAGGCCCGTACGAGAGGCCGGTCTCGGCGCTCTCCCGCCGCCAGCTCGATTCGCTCCTCGCCTCCAAAGCCCCGCCTTTTCAGGACCAGGTAGTTCAGGAAACCCTTCTGATGATTCTCGAGCCGATTTTTGAGCCGATTTTCTCCCCTAAGTCCCACGCTTTTCGCCCTGGCAGGAACCCCCACACCGTGATTCGGACAATCAGGAGTAACTTCGCGGGCTATCTCTGGTTCTTGAGAGGTGACATCAGCGAAATTTTCGACAGTGTCGATGCGAACGCAGTGATGGGTTGTGTGGGAAAAGTCTTGAAAGATAAGAAAGTTTCAAACTTGATCAAGTCCGGATTAAGGGCTTCTGCCTGCACCCGAACCAGAGATGAACAGGAGGAGCAGAAGATGGACAAGAAGAAGATGAAAAAACTCAAGACCAAGAAAAGGATACTGAAAGCCAATGAGCCAAAACCAGACCCTTATTGGCTGAGGACCTTCTATGATTTTTCTCCTGAAGAGGCTGCAAAGATACCAAACTATGGTCACTGTGGGATTCTCAGTCCATTGCTAGCAAACGTTTGTCTCAACGAGCTGGATCGTATGATGGAGGAGAAGATAGCCGAGTTCTTTAGACCCTGCGAGCAGGACACCATTTGGAGACACTCCATTGATGATGGGTGTCACAACCCATCTTGGCCCGAGTTTGTCCCTTCGCGTGGGAAAGGAAGGACCAAGAAGATGGACTACATCCGTTTCGGAGGACATTTCTTGATCGGCATTAGAGGTTCCAGACAAGACGCCGTGGGCATTCGCAAGGGTATAATCGACTTCTGCGAGAACGAATATGGGATAAGACTGGACAATTCGAAGATTGAAATCGAGCACGTGAGCCGAGGGGTTCAGTTCTTGGACCACATAATCTGTCGTCGCGTAATATACCCGACCCTCCGTTACACGGCTTCTGGTGGGGCCGTTGTGAGCCAGAAAGGCGTAGGGACTCTTCTCTCAGTCACTGCCAGCTTGCATCAGTGCATTCGACAGTTCAGGCGACTCAGGCTTGTGAAGGGGGATAAAGACCCAGAGCCACTCCCTTGCACACCAATGCTCTATTCAGGGCAAGCCCATACCAATGCCCAAATGAACAAGTTACTTGAAACCCTCGCAGACTGGTACATGTTTGCAGATAACAGGAGAAAAGTTGTGGGCTTTTGCGCGTACGTCGTCCGTAGCTCCCTGGCTAAGCTGTACGCCGCGAGGTACAGGCTGAAGTCGCGCGCCAGGGTGTACGGGATCGCTTCGCGCGACCTGAGCCGTTCGTTGAGGGAGCACACGAACAGGTCTGCGCCAGAGTACTCTGATCTCCTGAGGATGGGACTGGTTGACGCCATTGAAGGGGTCCAGTTCTCCCGCATGTCATTCATCCCTCCGTGCGACTACACGCCGTTCCCGAGGAAGTGGGCCCCGCAGCACGAGAGGGTGTTGAAGGAGTATGCCAGGCTGCAAGACCCCAAGTTCTTCTGTGAGCTGCTCAAGTCAGTGAAGAGGAGGAGGTCTCTGTCTTTGCCTCAAGATGAGGTGTCTGGAATTGTTTGGGACTACAAAACACTCGGGGTTCAAAGCAGTCGGTTCGTTGGCATTGAGGGAAAAGTGTTATAAAGTGTGGGAATTGTCCTATTGTTTTTCACTTATCCATAATGGGTGTTTTCACCATGGAAACTTTGGGTTCAGAAATGTGGTATGAGTCTACATCACTTTGTAGAGTTCAACTGAGGTTGGATTTCTTCCCTTACTAGGCCAAAAAAAGTTAGAAATTTAGTAAAGATTAAATGGGTATTTCTCACTACTTATTTTTAATTTATCAGATAATTGATAAAATGTTTCTTTGTGTTTACAAGTAGACTTATAAGCCATAAAAATAACTAGGTTTTGTCTACTTATTTTAATTCAGTTTTTTTGTTTTTCAGTTTTGTTTAGATTTTTGTTAAACTATATCTCTCACTATTTATAAATATTTCTACCCTAACAGTCTCTCCACTTCAACCAAAACTGCCGATTACCTACAGTATTACTTTAGCCAATAGGCGATTTTGGATGAGAGTCGGAATTTAGGAGTAAGAATCATATTCACATATTATATAAAATACTTGCATTAATCAAGAAGTGAACCAGAAGAGTACAATACATTAACTTTTAGAAGGTGAGAGTGTATGGCTGTATCTCTAACACGCCCCTGAAACTTAATTTTGTGAAAAAAAGAAGAGAAAAGAAACAGAACAAGATGAAAATAAGTGGGAAACTGGGAAGGCTAACAAAGACGGCCGTGGCCGCCGTGTGCCAACGGCGGAAACACTGTAGCACGGTTGAGATTTATTTTATTCCCTGATTTGCCCCTCTCGTTCAATTCTTGATTTCTTCTTCTTCTTTTTTCTCCTCCTCCTCCCCTTCGAAAGCAGACACTGCATAGGACCTGGCGAGCCCCGCCGGAGTGGCAAAGACGATTTTCTCAGCGTCTTTTTTGGAGACGGTGATGAGGGAGAGGGCGACCCAGAGGAGGAGCTCCTTGGACTTGACGCCGGAGACGTCCTTCATCCGGCGGTCGTCGACGGTGGCGGTGACCACGGAGTCGTACCACACCTTCTTCCCGATCTTCTGGAACTCGTGGTAGGTCTCCTTTCTCTGCTGCAGCCAGACGAAGCCGTTCTCCCGGTTCCGGCCGACCTCGACGATGTCTTTCAGCGGGAGGAGTCCCGACGGCATGTTGATCTCCCGGAGCAGCTCCAGCGTCTTCTGCTTGCACACCTCCGGGTCGGTGTGTACCTCGGAGCTCCCCCGGTTCAGCTCGATGAGTTCCTTCGGCGTTGGCATTTCGTCGTCGGCGGCGGCGGCGGCGTTTGTATGTTAGGGATTGAGGATTTTTTTGGGGACGAGATTTCTTTTTTGGGGTTGAATTTCTTTCTTCGGTTTATTTATAGCGGATGTTAGGGATTGAGGATTAGAAAAAATGATTTTTTTTTTTTTTTAGTCTTATCACGTGATTTTAGTTTTCATAAAAAACAAATGAGCACATTCCTGAGGGTCCTTAAACCGACTTGGCCAACCGACTTGGCCAGACGGTCATTGAGAAGGAGATAAATTAGATTTTAATCGTAAATTGGTGATAAAGAGTAGAACGTGCACCTGATACTTGCAGAAGTCCTATGCTTAGCATAGTTATCTCTCAGTACAGTTGTCAGAAATCGAACTCGTATCTTACTCCCTTAACACTACTTGTCTTGCCAATTGTACAGCGCCCACCAACATGATTTAAGTTTTTAAAGATATATGAAAAATCGTCAAAATAATCATTTCTAAAAAACGGAGCAGAATAATAACAAAAGGAATATTCTTACTCCTTATCTAATTGATGATTGTAATTTTTCTAATTTAACAACAAAATATTGAATTTTTATTTGATGACTATAATTTGTCTAATTTAACAAAAATTAAATATGACAAATATAAGTATTTCCGAACTTTTCATACAAAATTTGTCACCGTACCATTTTGAGAAATTTTATTTGTAAAGCACACGTACAGAAATTGTCATACACCAACACCACCTAATTCAAATATTTGAAAATGTGCTACTACCTCCGTCCCATTTTATAACGCCTGTTTCGGTTTAAATGTTTGATTGAAATTATTTTCAAACCATTTTATATGACAAATGGTATAGAATTAAAAAATAAAAATTACATATTAAAAAACTACATCAAAAGATCTACAAAACTAGTAGTGACAATAATATTTTATTTTATCAAATTGCTAACGAAAATAGAGAAAGAAAGTGAATGAAGTTTTACCCTGTGAATAGTAAACAAGCATTATAATTTGGGACGGAGGGAATACATAATACGGAGTATTTTTCTTTTTTAGAACAAAATTCAATCAAATACTTCTATTTTTCATCAAATTCCTTTTTGGTTAAAAGAGAGTATGAAATGATGTTGATGTCATTTTTTTTCTTTTTAGTATTACGGTTCCTCGATAACTTATTATATATTCTCTACAAAGTATTTCGTTTTATACACATATTTTCATTGATTATTTGATAAAATAAAATATTGTGTTCACGTCTTATTTTGTTAAACACTTGATGTAATTTTGAACGACGTAATTTGTATTTTTTATTTATATACTAGTTTATAAATAAAATCATTTTAAAAGAGATTAGATTTGTATATTTTTGAAACATGAAGAAAAAATGGATTGGATGGAGTACTTGTTCTGTCAAATAATAAATTCTCAATTTTTTTTCATTTGTTGCGAAAAAAATATTTCATTTCTTTTAGAGTAAAATATTGAGTGGATTATATTATTTATTTCTTTTCTACATAAATTTCAACCATAATTTTTTTTAGTCTTTAAAAATCAAAACGTAAAATTTAATTTGAAACGAGAAAATAAAACAAAAATATAATTGTTTTAGTAATCCCAAGTAACACCAAATCGTGTATTTTATTTGTACCCCAAATTTTATTATAGGCACAAAAGTTGGTTGGGCTATGGCAGTTGAGCGTTGATGGGTTGGTCCTATTATCCAATTTATTTAATTTAACGGTTGTAACTTTGATTTCAAATGGAGTACTAAAATAAATGTGGACACATTTATATCCCATCCATTCATTGTACATGATGCCAGCCTTGCTTTGGACCGGTGGGTCACTCACTAGGGGTGCGGCAAGATCTATCCTTTTTATTGGTAGTGATGCATTGGTCTCAAGATCTATATTTAAAAAATAATTTTTTTTATATTTTCCATTAACTTACATGTGAATATTTTTTTTAGAAGGTCCATAAAATAAACATAGACATTAAATCCACGAAAGAATTTGCTTTTTCATACGACCTATGAATATAATAAGAATAAAGGTAAGTGTACTCCAAAATGGTGTACATTATTTGTACATCAGGCAAGCACAGACACTAAGTGTAATATATGTGTTTGTCTGATGTACAAATAAAGTACACCATTTTCGTGTACCCCTAGCATGACCCATATAATAAACCTAAGTTAATATCTAGAAATCATGAGAATTTTTTTCTTGGCTTGAATGATTGGAAGACTACCCACAAATACTCATAAAAAAAATCACTCATTTTTTATTCTCAACCGAATTGACATTGTGTATGTATCATTAGATTGAGAAAGTAGAGACATATATCATCTATTCTGGCATTTCATCTATATTTTACTTTAATTTTGGATTTTTTAATTTAAAATTAAGGATCCAAAATAAGAAATCTACTCTGCTAGAACCGAAACATATACTTCAAGATGAAAATAAAACATTTATTATCCCAAAAAAGGATTAATGCAATGTGAAAATTTAACATTGTAAAATTTATGTAAGTCCTATTTTGAGGGTAAATTTCACCAATGGTATCTGAACTTTAGCTGGAATTTCGAAGTGGTACCTGAACTTCAAATCCTTTCAAAAAAATCCCTGAATTTACACAATCCTTTCACTAATGAGCCATTAGCCCGTTTCTAGGTTAACTTCCGGTCATTAGGGCCAAATTCGAATTTTATATATTTTAAAATTTTCAATTTGACCCCATTTCTTCTTTTCTTTTCTTCCAGGCCCCGCCGCCGCCGCCCGCCGGTCAAAGTCGCCGGAAAATGAACTTTTTCCGATTCCGGCGAGACCAATGTCATTCTCTTCGTCTTGAGACGAGGATCAATAATATCCAAACCATTCCGGCGGTTGCCGGCGGGTCGGAGCGTTTTCCGGCCAACTCCGGCGAAATTGACGGCGGGCACCAACTCCAATGCGGTCGTGGCATCCGTGCGACCTCCAAGGACCCCTCAATTGCAAGATTTGATGACGATTTGCAAAACCCCCCATTTTGGATCCAATTTCGAATTTTAGGGTTTTTTCGAGTAGAAAGATTCAAATTCGAGAAGTTATAGGCAAAATTAGACAAAATGGTTTGGATATTATTGATCCTCGTCTCAAGACGAAGAGAATGACATTGGTCTCGCCGGAATCGGAAAAAGTTTATTTTCCGGCGACTTTGACCGGCGGGCGGCGGCGGCGGGGCCTGGAAGAAAAGAAAAGAAGAAATGGGGTCAAATTGAAAATTTTAAAATATATAAAATTCGAATTTGGCCCTAATGACCGGAAGTTAACCTAGAAACGGGCTAATGGCTCATTAGTGAAAGGAATGTGTAAGTTCAGGGATTTTTGTGAAAGGATTTGAAGTTCAGGTACCACTTCGAAATTCTAGCTAAAGTTCAGGTACCATTGGTGAAATTTACCCCCTATTTTGATGACAAAAATATGGAACTAGTACTTGATACCTACTTTTCTCTATTTTTACTTTTGATTAGTCTTTTCCCTATCGAAAATTCAAAATACTCCCTTTGTCCCTACAAGGGTCTATTTCATATGATACAAACTCGTATCGGATAGAGAAGAAATTTGAACGTTCTTCAAGCTCCAAGAGATTAAGATGAGAGTAGAAGAATTATTGGGACAAAAAGAGAATCGGCGAACCAAGAGATGAGAAGAGATTAGGGTCTGTAATACTCCGTATTGTTTATTGATTGATTATTCTAAATAGAGTTACATCTCTATTTATAGGTGACGAAGAAATCCTAACTCTAATCAAAGTAGAAAAGCTAACTTGATGGTTCAATAAAAACGACGATGAAAAGAGTTTTAAAGAAATCTCGAAAGAGCTTATAATTTTGCTCACTTAATAAAACCTATATTAGAATAATAACAATAATAGTAATAATAATAATAATAATAATAATAATAATAATAATAAACAAATAATAACTAATAAGTATATACTCCCTCCGTTCCAAATGTTCTTCCCAATTACTATTTACACAGTCAAACTTTAATTACTTTCTTTACCTATTTTTGTTAATTATTTTATAAAATAAAAAGTCTTATCACCTCTTATTTTGTAAAACTTTTGATGTAGTATTAAAAATATCAATTTTATTTTGTAACTTTACACCTACAATCAAATTAATTGAATTGAAAATAAAGTCGATCAAATCTCGTAACAGAAACAGGAAGAACATTTTAGAACAGAGAGAGTAACTAATTATCATACTCTACTGTCCATTACATCATATTACAATGATTGATCAATTATATTTTTAAATTTAATTTATTTAAATAATGAAATAAAATTTCAAAACAAAAACTACTTGGGGCATATAATTAAAAAAAGAAATCACTTTAAATAGGAGTAAAACATAGAGAAAGTACCAATATAAAATTCTTTGTTTTGATTCTCTAAATAGGAGTTTAGATTGTGGTAATGTGACACTGTACATAGACATTTTTGTTAATGTACATGGTCATGTAAATATATTTTAACTCTTATTTTGGAAATAAAAACATTGAACTTCTATATTGATATATTTTCAATGTTTTACTCATATACTAGTCTTTTTCCCAATTAAAAACTACATGAAGTCCTCTTTAAAACAAGAACTGACAAAAGTACTCCCTCTGGTCCCAAAAGATCTTCACACTTCACTATTAAAATTTTATGAGAATTTTTATTTATTTGCGCGCTTTTATTGATTACTTAATAAAATAAAATATTCTTGTCATTTTTTGTTTTGTAAAACTTTTGACTTAATTTTTAAATATGTAACTTCTACTCCCTCCGTCCCATTTTATAACGCCTGTTTCGGTTTACGATGTTTGACTGAAATTATTTTCAAACCATTTTATATGACAAAAATGATATATAATTAAAAAATAAAAATTACATATTAAAATACTACATCAAAAGATCTACAAAACTAGTAGTGACAACAATACTTTATTTTATCAATTTGCTAACAAAAATTGAGAAAGAAAGTGAATGAAATTTGACTCTGTGAATAGTGAGCAAGCATTATAATTTGGAACGGAGGGAGTATTTTTTATTTATATACTAATCTTTAAATAAAATGAGTTTTAAAAGTCAAAAGTGGACAAAGACAGTGGGACGGAGGTAGTAAAATTTTATTTCATTTAGTGTAAACTACAAAACACTTTGAGACGGATAAAGTATTACGGAGTATTTTAACAAATGACTATAGTGATGAGAATAAACATTTATTTGACCGCTAGAAGTAATGAGGTCACTTTTTAGAGAGTAGGGGAGTAGGAAGCAATAGAATTTGGATAAAGCTACTTCTACCCCCATGGTTTTGTACCCCACTTTGTACCCTGTGGGTTTGCAGTAACACTTTGTGTTAGTGTAAAACCAATTTTTGTTATTGCACAAACACTTTGTGTCCGTGTAGATTTTTGTTAACACACCAACACTTGTGTCGGTGCAAAACATCAAAATGTGTGTGTATGCCTGTGGGGTCCATAGAATTTTATTCTATCAATATGGTCTAATTTATGATATCTAAAGCCAATATATTGTTTAAAAAAGAGAAATGCAAAAGTCACAAAAACTCCAGTCACAAAATACACAAACTTGCTATTTGTGTACTTCACCAAGTGAATTAAATAATATTAAATAATTAAAAAGTAGACATTTAATTACATAAATAGTAAGTTTGTTTATTTTGTGACAAAAATGTTTGTGACCCTATCACTCCTCCAAACAAAACGACTCGCAATCGCAAGAACGTTTGAGTCAGAAGGTGAATTTATAATCCCAATCCCCAGTAATTTGATGTGGTAGTGGGGTACATCTGTTGTCTCAATATTAAAGTGTCACTTTCCTTACAGATTTTAATGTCATCAATTATTTTTTGAAAAATGTTAGGGGAACACTAAATCCAAATGTGTACCTCATTTGTTTCCCATCCCTCCTTGTCTACAACAAAAAGGCAAGAAATTCAAAATAAATAAATAAATAAAAATAAAAAAAATGGGTGGTGGAGTAGGAGGTGGTGTACATTTGGGGTACACATTTGGTGTACCCCTAGCATTGTTCTTATTTTTTATATTGTTTAAATTTAAGGAAGATGCTAGGGGTACACTAAAGGTGTACCCCGTTTGTCCCCCACCCCCTCCATAACCACTCATTTGTATTTGATTTTTATTTACTTATTTTTTTTAATTTTCTTGCCTATTAGAGTGATTATGGAGGAGGTGTGGGACAAATGGGGTACACTTTTGGTGTACCCCTAGCATTTTCCTAAATTTAAATGGTTTCATCTGACCTAAATAAACTCAAATATATACAGTAATGCATGACGCTAATATTATTTGAATTTGACGCAAAGTACTTTTAGTTATGTTATTAATTATTTTCTATATTTGAATTTCAAAACAGCTAACTCGACAATCCATTTGAACCCAGAGAACACATATAAAGGCCATACTCTTTTAGACAATAAAAAGAATCTTTCTCATGTTGGATTAGGGTAAACCTGTAACACAAACGATCTTTTAAGAGGTAAGTGGGGGCATTTGTTCTTATGTCAATTGTTTGTGACTTTACCCCTTTGGGCTAAGATCATTTTGCCGTGTGGCGTTTTCATCACGTGTGACCGAAGAAGTGGGAACGATAAATGGAAAATGAGACGACGTAGTTTCGCGTGATGAAAAAAAGACCATTTCATAATTGGAAAATAAGTTTCGCTAAAATGAGGACTCTTTTTATGGGACGACGAAGTACTTCGCAGTTGTACCAAAGTCCAACTAGAAATGCCATAATTTTTCAATACTTACCAGTTAGCAACATGAAGTGGAATGGCCCTTAGCTTTACAAGTGAAACCATTTGTCTCTATGTGGGCTTTTGGTAGGTCAACAGATTTGCAAGCTGCCTTCTCAACTGCTCTCTGAATTGGTGTTTCAGAGACATCTCTCTCTCCATGCTCTGCTTGATAGTTTGGAGCTCTGATTTTCTTCTCTCTGCTGCAGCTATCTCGGAGTTATCCAAATGGTTGAGGCTGCCTTGTAGTTCTGAAAATTTTGACTTCAGCTGAAACAAGGATACATGTGAAAATCACAATTACGCTCTCCGTGTGGAAACGTACATTTCTGAATTAGAGCAAACTGAGCATGAAAACTAAATCTGAGTCTAAAATTCATATTAGAAAACTCGATTGAGTCCAAGAGAAAGTCAATGACTAATTTGAGTGATAATGTATAGTCGACGACTAAATTGGGTATTAGCTCTAACAATTTGAGCAAGTGAAGGTCATAACATTTATAATTGGGGATTTGAATTAGGCCTCAAACAATCGTTATACGGAGTATCACATTATATTATTCCACTTCAAAAATTAATTCCTATCCACAGTTCATAAAAATTGAAACATTAGGATCTGCAGAATGCATGATCATTGTTAAACAAGTGATGCAAGCCAATAAAAGAAGCAAGCAAGTAAAAGGCAAGAAACAGACTTTACTGACCGCATTGGAGTGACTTTTCAGTTCCTCTACTTGTACATGCATTTCGATCGCAAAGTTCCCCACATGCTCCATGAATTCATCCATCTCTGCATTTTCTGATGTGTAATACTTTTGCTTTTCTTTTTCTAGTTCCTCCAAGTCCTCCACCTCGTCCTTCAAATGCCTAATTATTCCAAATTCCCTAAGAACTATCTTCGTTGACAAGCTATTCTTCCTCTACTAGACTTCCACATTGCACACATACAAAGACAGATAGATGAAGACTTGGCAATAGATTCAGGGTACGTCGTATGAAAGCAGATCAGCATTTTATTCAAACAACAAAGTGAACTTCAAGTAATGCATGAATTCCCCTCATACCAAAACAACCAATAGGTCTATACTGTGCCTGTAGAGTAAGCTCGCATACAGGTCTCCACACACAGCAAAATATAATTCAGTTTCCTTGCTCGCTCTCCTTTCAATCCTTTCGTGATTTATATATAAAGTATAACCCATCTGATATAAAGTAGAGAAAAATGATGTCTATACCCAATATTTGCATGACATGGCAGACTCATTCACTAAGGCATTTCAGCATGCATTTACATGAATGCTACATAATTTACGCGACCACCAAATCATTATACTTTTCCTTTTGTTTTAACTGATGCATAAGTACTTTACATAACACATTTATTAAAGTGACTTAGGTATTTTATTCTAGTAACATAAATATTAGGACAAAATGGAGAAAACAGACATTAAGCGCAGAGGACACTTCTGCCATTATTTTGGGGGGCAGAAGTATCAAATATGCCCTCGGACTATCTTGGATAGTGCAATAGACCACTCAAACGGCGAAAATTTCCATACAAAAAATCTCAAACTGGGATAATAAATCTTCAATTGGGTTATTTAGAAGGATGCAACCTGTAAATTCTAGCATTTACTACGCAAATAATGCAATAAACTACTTGAGCAGGTCTTGAGCTACGGTGGCTTTCCCTGAAGCTTTTTGTTAGTAAATGCCGAGCAAATCAAAGAATTCAAAGGCTTTAGCTGAAGAGAACTGCATGGTAGTGAATAGCTAAGGAGAAGAGGCTGGGGAAAAAGCTAAAATTGGGCAACAAAAGGGATTATTTGTTTGTAGAGAAAGAAACTGAGAAACCCGTGGAGGAGAAGCCCAGCAAGGAATCAATGTTCTTGGACAGCATCTTTGTTAGTTCTAATACCAAATAGATCTCCAAAAAGCCTAATCTGAAACCCTAAATCATGCATAGGCAGAGATCAAAACCAAGATGAGAACAAACCAAAATGGGAAACAAATACAAAGTAGAATGAACTTAATTACTACAGAAGATTTTATTCCATATGAAAAAAAACCTACTCAGAAGCAGTCCTCATTATCATACAAGTTGAGATATCTCCACCATTGGATCCTCTGCCACCACCCATCTGAAAGGCATCATCATCTCTCCCCATCTCCACAGAGTCTTTTAAAGTTGATCTGAATTTGTGCCATGTGTCCCTAACAATGTGGAGATTTGATATCTCTCTCGACCGTCGACTATCCACCGCTACCGGCTACCATTGTCACCGGCAACCACCCCTATTGCCGGAAACTCCCGCCAATTACTAATTAAATCATGATTATAAATTTATCTAAATAACTTCATTTTAGATATTAAAACTCATATCATTTCTCCCAGATTTCAAATCCATATCATATCATGTCTATTTCCACATGGGATTGAGTCTATTCTGAGTACTTCTTAAGCTCGCATAGGTTCCAATCATCAATTACATGAAGATTACATGCTAAAACGGGAGATTGCATTATTATACTGATTTCAGGTGCTCCAATGAAGCCTTTTTAATGCTTAGAGTGCTAAGTACACTATTTGCAATCTGATCGAGCCATCGAGGTCGATTTTGGCACTTGCTTCATTCTGGGATTATAAATCATATGGACCATATACTAAATGGAATCAATTACATGAACTAATAACATTCAAATGACAGAAAAAATGCATATATTCATGCCTGAGTTTCTGAAGCGATCGGAGATGATCGGAGTCCAAACGATCGATTTCGGATTTCAGAGCAGAAATAAGTAACTGCTGGGAAACGATCTTGCGCTCGAGATTAAGGCAGCGCTGTTCAGCGGATCTGATGTTCGAGAGCCTGGCGGCGAATACCCGAGACTTGTTGATCTGTAGCTCTTTCTCCGCCTGTTAATATCAACAATGGCACATTCAGAATTTGCATTTGTTGTCGCTACACCCTAGTGATTCCAGAGAGAAAAAACAAATTCAATGCAAAAATACCTCAAGGAGATGGAGGCGTTGGTTTCTCGTCTCTTCCATTTGTTCCATTCTCTCGCGAAACCCCGACGGAAGCGCCATTGATGAGAAATGCTGGCCTGCTCGGCGATCGAGAAAATGGATTTTTACTTTTGAACTGCGGGAGAAGAGGTTTTCCGCTTACTGAATCCAATCAAAATAAGCAAATTCGTCCGATCAATTTTTGGGCCTATTTGGTTGGTGAGTTTGTGAGCTAACATAACATGAAATGAGTTTAAAAATCCGGTAGAAATAATATGCATTTTAAAAAATGAAATGATTTTTTTTTTGTGGAAATATGAAAAATTTATTTTGAAAGATTTAAAATTACAATTAAATAAGTGATAGGTGAGGTTGATCATCAATGATGGTAATTGGTGATAACAATGATAACTAGTGACAGAGAATCATAAACAGTTGAGGAAGATAGTCTATATTAAATTTCCATATTGATATCTTTCAAATTCATGAGATATCGAAATTTAACATTTATGATATCTTGTGATATTAAGCTCGATATCTCTTTTTACTTCATAAACACAAGAGAAAATTTAGATATTTAGAAATATCAAAATTCATCTCTCTTGCTCACCAAAAACACTCTTATAAGTTTAATTTTAATACATGAAATGATCATATGTATTGAGTTATATATACAAAATAAGAGATCTAATTATGAGTTCTTAAAAAATGTGTGAGAAAATCTACATTCTGCATGTAGACCTTAGAACCATAATAGCACAACTCTACAAAATAGGGCAGGATTGTTAGGTTTCATGTCATGCTTCTTAATTACCGTACTTCCTATGTAATTTTTTTTTTCCGAACACCATGCAAAACCTATAAAAATAGGTGTTGAAATAAAAAAAATACAGATTACAATATTCAAAACTACATAAAAATGCTACAAAAAATGAGGTGTGATAAAAATATTTTATTTTATCCAATACTCAATGTAAATATAAATACAAATATAAGTTACCGAGAGATTGTAATAGTTGCTAAGAAGATTGTTTTGAAATTATAAATTTAGCAAATGATAATGACACTCTAAGATTTACTCCGTATGTACTAAGAGCATATACATCTCTAGAATGTTTCTCTTAATATTTTTAACTATACACATCATTTTTTTTATATTTCTATTATAAAAGTATGTGTTGTCGAAAACATTCATTCAAACTTCAAAATAAAATTGTAACCACTCGCTTTTATTTCTTAATATTTTTTTAATCAATTCTCTAATTTATGCGAAATCAAAATCAAAAAATAGAAACGGTAATTTGTAAAAACATATCTGAACATGCATCTCAAATTTTTGAAATTAAATTATATTATAAATAATTATGTAAAATATATTTTTTAAAAAATTAAGGACAAATATATAAAAGTATTCAAAATATGTTTCAATTGAAAATTGTACTATGATTTATAAAAAAATTACAAATAAAAAATATATGTACTTAAAATTTCCATACATTTTATACTCATAAAATAATTTGGCAAAGTTCTTTAGACACCGGAATTATGGTGAGTTCCTCCGACTTTCTAATTAATGCGTCTGATATTAGCTGGTTTTTTTTCATCTAAATTTAGACAAAAAAAAACCAATTAATTTGGATGCTCCCTCACAGTGTAATATGTGAGTGTGATCTAATAATCATACTTTTTCTCTAATAATTTATCCATTACATCTTACTTTACCAATCACATTAAAATTAAAATTAGAATTCAACTACAATTTTAACACTTTTTTATTTTAAGATTTGATCAAACTATTAATCCGTGGAGGAAGTAATTATTTTAGTATCTTTGATCTGCCAAAAAAACAGTAGTGCAATATCCACGTTCAAAAGCAAAGACCTTTTTATCTGTAACTAACAAAAAATAATGATATATCCCAATCCCAACTGGATTTGCTCCATACATATACATATATCCTGTAATAAATTTACCAACAAAAAATAAAAGAGTACGTGCATATGCACATTGGGTTTCCTAATTCCACATGCAAAAAGGGGAAACAAAGTAGACTATACATAATACATCCCTTCATCTATCGAACTTTTCAAAAAAATTTTCCTTTTTTTCCTAGCTTTATTCGATCAATTTCATATATGGGGGTTCCAATGAGAAAAATCATCCTAATATAAAAACATAGATAAAGTATCAAAATAATAATTTTATATTTTTATTTCCTAAATAACAATTTGTACTGTGATAGTGGTATTTACATGATTAATTTATTATACTTTTTGGTAATGTATATAGTCATATATGATAATGTAAATGCATTTTAATTCCTATTTCGGGAATAAAAACTTCTACTTCAGTATATACTCCCTCCATTTTCAAAAACACTTCCTCTTTCATTTTTTCCACTTCCAACAAAACACTTCCCCTTTCTATTAAAAAACCACCTTTACCCTTACTTTTTCATACCCTACATATCACATCATACTTTTTCTCTAATAATCTATCCATCACATCTTACTTTTACCCATCACATCAAGGACAAATTTGGAAATCAATTACTCCGTATAATTTAACACTTCCTTATTTTTGCCCCAAATCAAAATGGGAAGTTTTTTTGCAAACGGAGGGAGTATATTTTTAATATTTTACTTATAATTTAGTCTTTTTCTATTCCAGGGACATTAACACCCATGTTATCCTGTGACCTTGGTCCCATTTGGGATCTCTAGAGTACTCCGTTTAAAAAGGTGATGATTCATATCACTCCAACCTTCCGGTAAACCCCCTCATTACCTTAGCTCGTCCCGGTCCGAACCCACCCTTCCCCTGTCAATTGCAACCCAGAAGAAATATCTCGTATGCTACTAGAAAATTTCACATTTTTTATTCTGTTCTAAAACGAAAGAAATAAATTTATTTATTTATGATTATCTCTATGTTTGATTTTGTGATTTATTTATGATTTTTTTGGTTTTGTTTTCGGTCACGATTATCTCTATGTTCGATTTTGTACAATCTTCATTAGACCATACGGTGTGGGAGCAGGGATGGCCGAGAATTGGACGCCACGTGTCCGTTTAATTTTCTACTTTAATTTTTTTTCATAAAATAATCCCAACTAGTTTTACTACTTACTTCCTCCGTCCCGGAGTATTCGTCCAGTTTTGACTTTTGGAACAGTTCATCTAAGAACTTTGACCCATCAAATTCTCTCAATGTGTAAGCGTAAATATAGGAGAAAACCCCCTAAATAGTAGTAAAACATATGTTATATCTTCAAAGTAAGAGTTTAAACTTTAACTCCTCTAAATAGGAGTAATTAACTAATTTAAGTTTTGGCTTAGATTTTCTCTCTCTAGAAGAGGGGTTGTGAGCAACTAGCTTAGCCCAATAAATTTCTTAAGTTTGTTCATCATTCGAAACAAAGATTCTTGATTTTGGCCAAGATTGAATTTTCGAGCACTGCAACTTGGAATTCCAATCATGAGCATGTTTTTGCTCTATCTCTTCTCTATTTTTTGGGTGTTTCTTGGTAGAATTCAAGGAGTAATAAACTATTTTTTCATTTACAATAATTATAATATAATATTAAATATATAGAATATATTTAACACTCCTTTCACCCCTCTCCACAATTTTTGTTGCCTTCGAGAGATGATACTTTCATAGCCTTGTGTAAGCTTGAATTCAATTTCATATTCAATTTGACATAAGTGGTTACATTTAATTTGAAATCTGAAGATTTGCTTCTTATAGAATTATTTTATAAAATCAGTACTAATTCTTTCAGACGTGCGTAAGTTTGAATTCAATTTCACATTAGTTGTGACATTTGATTTTAAATATGGATTTATTTCTTAGGAAATTATTTTATAAAACTGATACTCCCTCCGTTCTCAAAAACACTTTCTCTTTCATTTTTTTCACTTCCAACAAAACACTTCCCTTTTCTATTAAAAAACCACTTTTACCCTTACTTTTTCATACCCTACCTATCACATCATACTTTTTCTCTAATAATCTATCCATCACATCTTACTTTTACCCATCACATCAGGGGCAAAATTGGAAATCAACTATAATTTAACACTTCCTTATTTTTGTCCCCAAATCAAATGGGAAGGGTTTTTCCAAACGGAGGGAGTATTAAAATTAAATGATTATGGTCTTGGCAGATCATAGAGTTTCTTGACATTTAACTTTTTTGGACATTACGCATTAACATGTGTGATATGTAACATTATACATGGGCATATATGTCATTATACGTTGTCATTTGTGGCATTATAAATTATCATGTTTGGCATTATCTAGATGATCAAGTAGACTATGAATAATATGGTCTCCCTAGATGAGGTGGTGCACAACTAGCTATGAGTGATACAATGACATATTTGTTGTTAATCAGTGCTATATTTGGCATTTTGCTTCTCTTAGACATTATATAGTGGCATATTTGTACTTGTTAGTGGCTATGTTTAGCATTATACATTGTAATATTTGGCATTGTGGTATTGTTGCATTGTATAAAAAATATTTTTTTTCTTGACAATCACGATAAGACCATAATAATATGTACGACGAAGATGGCAAATCCCGGTGGTGTTGGCGGCGAAGGAGGCGAGCTTGGTGATGTAGGACATCATCGGCAACACTCGATTGAATGGTGCGGGGCACGATGGTAGGTCATGGGTAAATGCAGATGGCGTCGGTGGCGACGGGGCGGACTTGGTGATGTGGGAAATCACTAACGATAATATATTGCACGGTGGCGGCGGACACGCGGGGGTGTGTGGTAGGCAGTTCTTGGTGGTATATATATATGTACAGATATATTTATAAATATAGATATTTAAAAAAAATTGAAGAAGAAGAAGAAAGAGCATACACTACTCTTATTATGTCTATGAGAAGTTACAAAAATTAGAAACATTATGGAAGTATTATCTTTGGTCCGCAACATTTTGGCTTCATTCAACAAAACTTTCGCAACCTTTTCAGCTGATCGTTCTTCTTTCTTTTAAATCTTGGACAAGTTAATTAATTAGATTAATTAAGTAAATTACTCCTATTTAGAGGATTTTAAGTTTCAACTTTTATTTTGGGGATATGATATATGTTTTACTCTTAGTTTGATGTTTTTCCCCTCAAATTATTCCTGGAGCACCAAAAGAAATAGGGCTCAAACACATGGGTGAAGTGACATTCTTGACCCTAGCTATCTTGAAGTTTGTTTGTTTGTTTGTTTTTTTTTGCTTTTCCTCTCCAGCTAAATTGGAGTAAATGACCTGATGGCCCCTTCAATGTCATCCATCATGTAGACCACGTTTGGTTGAATGAAATAGATAACCTTAGCTTCTTCACTTCTTCCCAGCCACTCACAAAACCATAATCAGAACACACCAAGTGCTCCATTCATGCTAGGCCCATAATTGTCCCCCCCCCTCCAAAAAAAAAAAAATCATTGAAATATGTGAAATATATATTTATTCCCTGAGTTCATTCCCGTAAAATACCTTAGCTTACAGTTTTACTTTCTGAAATACAAAGTGTTAAAACATAAAAAATGTATTGATCATATATAATTTGTTTGAATGTGAAAGAAATATTGTATAGTATCGTACATATATATTCTTTACTCTAATATGAAATAAAAATAAATGTAATTTTTTTAAGAACACCTAAAAGAGAAAATATGTAAAACAGTACATTTTATGAGACAGCTGATGAAATATTAGTGTCCATAAAAGTCAGTCCATATATATATTGCCTTAATGTAGACTTCATCACATGGTCAAAAATCTCAAAATTACATGGCACCCCAGGAAGAATAGAATGCTTGTGTGCACAAAGCTTTGGTACTCCATGTGCTCTGCCTGTTTTATTGCAATAATTAGCGCCATGATTTATCAGCTACCAAACATGTGCGTGGGACGGAAAGACAAAAGGTAAAATACATTTTTAGTTTAAGTAAGAATGGTTTGGGATGGGTGTATCAAAAGTTATGTTAATTCAAAGATTGATGATGGGTACAATTCTTAAGATCACGAGTTTTTCGAATCAAATTGAACGACTTTTAATCATCAATTAAATAAGAATTATTGTATTACGTAGTATATATCAGTATAAAAATGATGTCAAAAAATATTTATCTTTTCAATGGTTTTTCACTTCACAACTTATTTACCTATATATATATGTGTGTGTGTGTGTGTGTGTGTATATATATATATTATTGACTTTAGAGTCAAACTCGCCCCCTGCACCCGTCCCGTGCGCCCTAGTGCATTGTGTCCATAGTTACAACATACTCCATTCGTTCATAAATAAAGTTCTCATCGCGCGTTACGATATTTGATTTAAATTATTTTCAAACTATTTTATATAAAAAATGGTATAGAATTAAAAAATAAAATTTACATATTTAAAAACTATATGAAAAGATTTGCAAAAGTAGAGATGACATGACTATATTATTTTATCAAATAAGACACAAAAATAGGCTAATAAAGTCAAGAAAATTTGACCCTATGAATAGTGAACGAGAACTATATTATTGGACGGTGGGAGTTAATAAAAAATTGAAACCATTTAAAATCGATCGATATATTTTGATTAGTGTTTATATATAATTAAATGATATTATTGATATTATTGATATTTTGAATACGAGTACAGTACATATTATTGATATTAGTAATCCGTATAAAACTAGATTAAAAAAAGAAAAAAGAAATACTCTAACTAACTACACAGAATAACTGAAGAGATTAATAAACAAACAAAACAAACAAACTACGGAGTAATTATGGATTCACCTTTGGGGCAGATGACGACAGAGAAATGGTAGCCGCCGACGGCGTGGAAGGAGATGACGGCACGGCGGATTCCGACGACAACCCAACATCATACGCCAGCGTCCCGTCCGGCAGAAACAAGCCGTAGTTCCTCTCGGACGTCGGGCCGGGCTTCTGGTTCTCATTGAAAAGGGCAAAAACGTAAACCTCCAATCTCAACCCCGGCCTTAACGGCGTCCCCTGGTTCATCCTCTGCCTCCTCATCAGATTCCCGTTGAAAATCCGGGCGTTCTCCGGCGAGGCGCCGACCTCGTTGGGGTCCCCCTTCGACGGCCACCCAGTCTCCGACACCCGGACCTCGACGGCGTTGAAGCCCAGGCGGTACATGGCGACGAGGACGGCGTCGACCTGGGCGTACATCATGTTGTCGTAGCGGAGGTTGGTGGCGGGGTCCACCGTGCCGGCGGCGCCGGGGTTGAAGAGGACGTAGTCGAGGGGGATTTTGTTGGGGGAATCCTTGTAGGCGAAGAAGGGGTAGGCGTTGATCCAGAACGGAGATTCCGTTTCGGCGAGGAACTTTAGGAACTGTTGCATCATTCCGGCGAGCTCCGGCTTGAAGTACCCTCCCGACGGCGGGTATGAATTCCCCAGCACCGCTAGCGAATGAGGCGACGACACCTGTTGTGTTTTTGGGTTAAATCCAATAATTTGTCAAAAAGATATGATTCATTTATGATTATCTATTGAATACTCCCTCCGTCCACAAATAAACTTTATATTACGCGTTACGATGTTTGACTGAAGTTATTTTCAAATCATTATATATGAAAAATGTTGTAGAATTGAAAAATAAAAATTACATATTAAAAAACTATATTAAAAGATCTACAAAACTAGAGGTGACATGACTATATTATTTTATTAAATGGATGATGAAAATAGGCCAACAAAGTGAATAAAATTTGACCCTTTGAATAGTGACGTAAAGTTTATTTGTGGACAGAAGAAGTATTTATTTGTTTAAGAATCTCGATGTTAAATTAAAAATATAAATTATAATTTCACAATTGACACTAATTTCAATGTATCTAGCTATAACAACTATGGACTATAATTATGGCAAACGATGTGTCCAGCGTACAAATGACACATTATCATCTATCTCTATCATTGGTCATGCCAAGAAATATGTATTGTAATGTTTTGTAAATCTCTCTTGAAATAAACTTCTATTCACATTTTACATACTTAAACTATATATTCTCTTTCGGTCTCTCGAGAAAATAAAATATTTTTGTTGTTTCTTATTTCGTAGAACTTTTAATCTATTTTTGAACAATGTAATTTTTATTTTTTATTTCTCTACTAATTTATAAATAAAATGACTTTTTAAAAACAATACTCCGTAATATTTTACACATTATTCAAAATATTGCTAACATTTTGGGATGAAGAAAATATAAAATAGTATTATCACCATTGGTTACATTTTTTATAGACCTTTTGCAATAGATTTTAAATTGAGTGAATATTTTGAGTGAATATTTTAAGAAAAATGCTAGGGGTACACCATATTTGGTAATATGGTGTACCCCAATTGTCCCCTACCCCCTCCTTGTCCACAAGAATTGGCAAGAGATTCAAAAAAAATTAAAAAACTAAAAATCAAATAAAGATGTGTACTGGAGAAGCATGTGGTGTATGGGTACACCAAAGGTGTACCCCTAGCATTGCTCATATTTTAAGCCAAAAAAAGAGTACAAACATCTCTATCAGCTGACATAAGATTGTTATAGATGAGAGGGCCATTGCATGCCCATTTTTCTTTTTCTTTTAGATCTGTCACAACTTTTCAAATTTCCTTTATGAATCACTACCTTTTCTTACGTGTCAAAAATAAAAATGCAGTAGTCCTTCAGTATTTCTTTTTATTTATTTTTATATTTTGGATTCATTAGACTGTTTTTATAATACATGGATGAAGTATATGGGTTTCTTTTTGTTGGTCTAAAAGAAATTTTAAACTTCTCTCTTTCCCATTTCCCAAATGAGCATGTGCTCTCATATCATTTTTATATCTTTTAATCGTACTTTGGAATTAAACTAGACGAACTTTGAACCTTAATTAAATAAAAAATAGAAATGTATTTTAGTATAAAAATTATTTTATTTGATTTATTTTTTTTAGAACTTTTAAAATTTTAATGTATTGTAATACGGAGTAATATACAATACAGATTAAACTAATTGATTACTAAAATTAGTTCAATTTAATTAAAAAAGTCAAACTAGATGAATAAAGATTAGAGACACTATAGTCAAGATTTGGTTCAATACCTTAATGTTACGATCAAATCCGAGACTTGCAAGCGCCCGGCGGACATTTACCATGGCGGGTACGAGGTGTCCCATCAGCGACGTGTCGCCGTCGGTGATGACCTCATTTCCGACGGCGATTCCGGTGATGTTGGTCGCCGGGAAGAACGGGCGAATCTGAGTCTCCACCCACTGCGCCGCCGGTTGGGGGTCGCTGCCGCCCAACGCCGCCAGCCTCTGGTTCTCGACCGTCACGATGAGCTCGACGCCGGAGTTGGCGAACGCCGTCAAGATTTTCGGGTTGGTGTCGTAGATTCTCGTCTTCGTGATCTTGTAAGCTCGCAGGAGTTGCAACACTTTCTCCGGCGGAAGCAAATTGTCCCCCAGTTGGCCGTAGTTAATCCCCAGACATTTTACTTCTCTGAGAAAACCAAAACCTGTTAAACCATCAGTTATTATTATAAACAATGTATCAAAGACAGAGAGAGGGATTTACAGGGGAGGTAAATATTTTAATTACCATAAAGAAGAAGAAGAAGAGAGAAGACAAGATGTTGTTGTGGGATAATGGTGATTTTTCTTCTAGGTGAAGAATTATTCATGGCAAGGGTGATTTTTTTTCTTCTTTTGTTGATTGATAAAGGTAAAAAAGTAATGGAAAAGGTAAAGAAAAGGAGAGGGGGGGAAGGAAGCAAGAAAAGAAGTGGGAGAGGGGGTTATATAGGCCAAGCGTGTGCAATAGGAATTCTTTTCTTTACTTGTTTGATCATTGTGTTTTTAATTTGAGGGTAATGAGCTTGACTTGGCTTGGCTTGGCCTACTACTAATGATCTTCTATTCTCTCTACCTTAGATTCTCTTCAAGCATCTCCATCAAATATACTCCAGCTCATTCCTCTCTTAATTAACCATTATTAATAAATTTTACATATTTGATTTAGATTGTCTTTAGCTAAAGTTTAATCGGTAAGTCTAAAATGACATTAGTGCTACTGGTGTCTGGTGTCATTTGCTTACACTAGCCCGTTTGGGGTACCTACGGTGCTCAGTTTGTAAAACCGACGGTTGCTACCCCCATAACCCACCCTCTAAAGCCCCCACCCCCGCCCCACCCTTGCCCCCCACCCCAGCCCCCCTCCCTACCGTGGCAGTACACTCGGTCAGGCTCGGGTTTCAGTTTTAAAAGTCTGGTCGGATTAGGGTATAATGATATCTGATCCGAACCTGACCTGTTGCCATCCCTAATCTGGATAATGTTATTACAATTCTCTTCTCTGAAACAGGCTCATGAGGACGTATCTGAACAAGATATTATCTTGTGTGGTTCATGGTCTCCTGGTGGATTATGCTTCATTGAAACAAAATACTTGGACCAATATTAGCAATATTACTTTTAACCAAGCTAAGTCTCTGTGTGGCTTCTTTTTAAAGAATTAATTATTACCTTTGAGAAAAAGTTATAACTTCGTGATTCTGTTTCTACCTCGACTACGGATGTCTACAATGCGTTATTTTATCAATTCTGAACATGGCAACGGTCGTGGCCATGGACATGGACCGTAGCGCTCCAAAGGGGCCATCCCGTGGTGGTAACTCTGGTGGTCAAGGAGTCCGACAGCAGCCCTACCGTGATGACGCACACGGTAGAGGCGAAGTGCGGAGGCATAATCACGTGTAAATTGTGTAGGAAACCTGAACATGCGGTCTGGAACTTTTGACACCGCTATAGTGAATCATATTCTTGTCCTCTAAAGGCATATTACACAAGTCAATCTGCCGGACCAAGTCTGAACTGGTATCTGGATACTAGAGCAAATACTCATGTGACATCTGATTTTTTTAGACTCCATAATTCTTCTCTATATCAAGGCACCAACTCTATTACAACTATGGGAGGTAATACTTACCCCATTGACCACACAGGCTCAAGTATCCTAACCACACCATACCATACTTTTCACTTAACAAAGCTTCTCCATTCCTCTAATATTAATTCTCATCTTCTTTTTGTTCATCAATTTACTAAAGATAATAACTACTCTCTCCTTTTCACATCCAAAGACTTTACGATTCGGGATAACACAACCAACCAAGTACGTTTCAAGGGCCTTGTGAGCGTGACTTGTATTCACTTCCAGCTTCTAATTCGTCTTAGGTGGTCAATACGATCAAAGTCACCCCTTATCAATGACATTGCCGTCTTGGTCACCCGTCTGTTTAAGTTACTAAGTCTCTATTATCTCAACTAGGTTTTAAATTTCAAGGTCTTGATCATTGTAATTCTTGTTCTCTTGCTAAGTCACATAATCTCCCCTTTCTCATGTCTAAAACTACGGCATCTGCACTTTTTGATCTTGTTCACTCTGATGTATGAGAACCTACTTCTATACCATGTTTTTGAGGTTATCATTTTTATGTTACTTTCATTGATGATTATACAAAATTTTGTTGGCTATATCCTCTAAAAAGTAAATTTGATGCCTTTGATTCCTTTTTTAGTTTTCAATCTATGGTTCAGAATTAGTTTAATACAAAAATTAATTTTTTTCAAACTGATAATAGACACAAGTATGTTGATAAAAATTTTGGATTGTTATTACAAGGCTTGGGGGTTCTCCATAAAAATCATGTACATGTACTCCTGAGCAAAATGGTGTTGCTGAACGGGAGCACTGCCACTTAATTGAAACCCTTGCTACACTCTTTTGAACTGCTTCTCTTCCTACAATTTTTTGGCTGAAAGCATTAGCTACAATGAATTTTTAATCAATCGAATGCCAAAACACTCTCTTAATCAGCAATCCCCGAATGAGGCTCTTTGTCACGAACTCCGTGACTATTCTATCCTCCGGGTCTTTGGGTCTTTGTCTTATCCGTGTCTTCACCATGAAATTACCAACAAATTTCGACCCCTTTCAAAGTGTTGCATATTCCTTAGGTATGACTCCTCCTCCAAAAGGTATCATTGTTTTGACCCTTCCACTAACCGTTATATATCTCTCGTCATGTCTAGTTTCAAGAAACTTGATTTCCTTACTCCACCTTGTCTCAACCTGTTAAAATGCCTTGAATCTGACCCATCACAGCTCCGAATCCGGAGAAGTCTGTTTTCTGAGAAGTCCGTTTTCGGAGAAGTCAGAATCCGGAGAAGTCAAATCCGGAGAAGTCCCATTACTGAGAAATCCGAATTCCGGAGAAGTCAAGGAATCCGAATCCTGAGAGATCCGAACCCTACTCTAATTGGGCTTTCTAATTATCTGTTAATTCTGTAGTTTGGGGCCCAAGTCTGTTAGGGTTTAGCTTAGCACTATATATATGGGTGCTACCACAAATCCTATGAGGGATATTCTGTACTCTATTTTGCCTCTCCTTCAGAAATAAAACTGCTCCCCTCTTCCCCCGTGGACTAGCCAACACAACGTTGGTGAACCACGTTAAATCTGTTGTTGTGTTTTCTGTTTGATTCTTTGATCACTCAATACCCTATTCCGTAACAACAAACTGGTATCAGAGCCTCTGGTTCTTCCGATTAGGGATTTTCTGAATTCCGCACTGTTAGGGTTTCTTGAGTCAATCAAAGATGTCATCTGCTTTGAACGTGAAGATTGATAAATTCAACGGGAGAAATAGTTTTGGCTTGTGGCAGATCAAGATGCGATCGTTGCTGAAGCAGCAGGGATTGTGGGCGCCGCTGACTGAAAAGGTGAATAAGGCAAACGATGATGAAGAGTGGAAAACCCTAGAAGAAAAGGCCCACTCGACAATCATGTTGTGCCTGTCGGACGATGTTATCATCGAAGTCGCTGATCAGGAGACCGCTGCTGCCCTCTGGATGAAGTTGGAGAGCTTGTACATGACGAAGTCTCTGACCAATAAGTTGCTCTTGAAGCAACGTCTGTTTCGACTACGCATGCAGGAAGGTACACCCCTTCGGGATCATCTGGAAAAGTTAAGTAAAATTTTGCTTGACCTTCGCAACATTGATGTTAAA